GATCTTGACCTGGACACCAAGATCCTAAATGCATGGCAAATACCTCCTTTTATAGGCCAAAATTAGGAACTATTGATTTGATGACTAATTGATGAGTGGGTGGCCAACTTTTGACTTGGTGACAATCCTTATCTTCTCTTGTCTGCCAAAAACATCATTGATAACGTCAAAATTGAAGCCACTTGAAAACATGAAAGTTGTAGGCAATTGTCTCAAATTTCTTGTGTAAACAATTCAGCTCATTTGGACTTCTAGAACTCCAGATATGGCCAAAATACTGAATAGTGCTCGGGTTGGAGGACAGATTCGGGCTTCTTTGTTGTTGCTACAATTTGGACTTGAAAATGGCCTTTTTAGATCTTGGGCTCCATATGAAAGTTTTAGGTCTATGTCTTACCTTTCCATCCATATAAAGTAGACCTAAATCTGAGATATATAGCTCCAAATATGACCCAATTACCAAACAGTGTTCCGGTTTGGATTGCACCGACATCTCTTTTCTAATTTTGGTCATCTTTTTGCCCTTGCAATTTAAGTTCTTAAAGTCATCAATCAATCCTTTCATTTATGTGATAGGCCTGCATTTAAAATGAACATTTACCATAAATTAAAAGTATCTTATATTATTAGATATATTATTATAAAACATGCTTTAGTTAAGGAGTTATTGATACTTCAAGTGCAAAATGATGATATAAAACCATGATAAAAATGCACTTTTAAGTACTAATCAATATGACACAACTGAAAAAGGAATCAGAGTAGATCCTCACTATGGTCTCGTTGAAATCAACTCAAAAGCTAGACACTGCAATGTAAACGATGTCTTTGTTTTCGCAAAGCAATACCAACAAGTTTATTACGCATACACCCCTTCCTTCAGAAAGGACCGATCAAGAATTGATTAGTTATCCATTTTAAGAACAAAACCCTAGGGTCATGTCGAGGTTGTTCAGGATGAGAACGAAGACATAAGCGTGATAGATGAAGTCTTTCAAGCTAGTGAGTTGGTTGAACCATACCAACTTGCTCTGTCGATTGACTTAGAAGAAAATTTGAAGTTTCATGTTTTCAACGATTGTCTTGTTGATGTTTGACACAACTAAAAGATTAATGTCTTCTCCTAAGTGCAAGAGTGTCGAAGTAATAAATAACCCGACAAGACCGGTGTCGAACCACAAGGAGGTAAATTGTACAAAAATATAAATAACAATAATACAACAACAACAATAATAATAACAACAACAATAATAATAATAGTATTAACAATAATAATAATAACAATAATAATAATACTAATAATAATAATAATAATAATAATAATAATAATAATAAAGAAAAAGAAGGAGAAGAAGAAGAAGAAGATGAGAACTTTGAGATGGAATATTAATGTAAGGATTAAACAATGATAATAATAAATGTCAGGGTTAGAGGATCCATTAATGGTTTGTCAAACAAGTATAATATAAACTCTTATTATTCAATTGGAAACCACACACAAAGGAGGTTCCAATCTGATTATAGATTGTTAACATGATTACATCAGTCATCTTATTTGATTAATTCTAATACTTGTAAATCTCGTCAAGCATTCATGATTATAACCTATGTTAACAACAAATCAAGTTCCTTTCATAACTCAAGTCTTGACTATACCATACAGTATGGGTTATGAATGTGCCAAGCATTTGTTGTACCAAGTGTTATACAACATAAATCAAGATTA